TCTCCCTTCCTCTCTGAAATCAATAAAAATAGATTAAAAACAAACAAATAAATAAATAAATAAATACCTACTAGATTGTTTAAAAAAGTAATGTTAAGTTTTAATATACCTACTTTACAACTTCTTCAGTAACTACTTTAATGTTCTGGGGGCTGGGGGAATCAATCACGTGCAGCATCCTAATCCCATCCCTGATGCCTATTGTTTGTTTTCTGTTTCTTCCGGCTAAAATATCAGCTCCCCTAGGGCAGGGACTCTTCAGCTTCTACGTCAGTGCTGGCCTCAGACTAGATTCTTAGTAAATATTTGTAGCATTAAAGAATGAGTGAGGCCCTAGCCGGTTTGGCTCAGTGGATAGAGCGTTGGCCTGCAGACTGAAGGGTCCCAGGTTTAATTCTGGCTAAGGGCACATGCCCAGGTTGTGGGTTCGATCCCCAGTAGGGGGTCATGTAGGAGGCAGCCAATCAATGATTCTCTCTCATCATTGATGTTTCTATCTCTCTCTCCCTCTCCCTTCCTCTCTGAAATCAATAAAAATAGATTAAAAAATAAAAAAGAATGAGTGAATCCCCTTTTTATAGCAAAAGGCACAGAGAGGTTAAGTGACTTCGCAAAGGCTGCACAGTACATAAGCAGTGACCTGAGTGGGAATATATACTGTTTGAAGTCTGTGCTCTTGACTCCTATGGACCTAGTGGCAAAATCCAAACTCAAATCAGATTTGATGCCAAAGTATGTAATCATACCAATATGCTGTCCTTCAGGGCAGAGGGCCAGGAGCCCAGAGCCCTATATTCTGGTCCTTATACCCTTATCCAACCTCATCTTCTCAAAATAGTACAGTTACTTGGCTTCTGCGCTCCTGGAATTTTCCAGACTGCCTCCTCATCTCAGGGCCTTTGTATGTGCTGCTCACCCTGCTCAACACACATTCCTCCCAGCTTTTTTTTATAGCTGCCACTTCCTCATTCTTCTTCTTCCAATTTCAAAGAAACCTCCTCTAGGGAGGCCTCCTGCACCTTACAAGGAAAGCCCTAACACTCCATCTGGTTGCCCTATTCTATTTGCTCCATAGCCTTAAACATCAGCTGAAATCATTGACTACCTTGATTTGTCTGTTTTCATATTCCTGCCCATCTCCCATACTAGGATGGCAACCCCAGCAAAGCAGGAATCTTTCTCTGGTTTGTTCACTGTTGTGTTCCCAGTGCCCTAGCACAGTGTCCAGCACATACTAGGTGTTCAAAAAATGCTATGCATTATCATTGAGTAGGGACATTACCTTGTTTACTTTCATTTATTCATCCATTCATTTAATCAACATTTATTGACCGCCTACTATGTGCAGGACAGTCAGGATACAACAGTGAACAAACCGGCAATCTCATCACCCACCTGTGGGACTGACATTGGAGTAGGTGAGACAAGAAATAAGATAAGAAAAAACAGACATTGTGATGGATGGTGCTAGTGCTAAGGTAAAATCTTAAAGAGATAGTGGGTGGTGAGTGTGAGCAGAGTTTGACATTTAATTTAATTTATTTTATTATTTTTTTTACTGGTTTCAGAGAGGAGGGTAGAGGGAGAGAGAGATAGAAACATCAATGATAGGAATCATTGATCGGCTGCCTCCTGCTGAATCGAACCTGGGACTTCAGCCTGCAGGCCAGCCCTCTATCCACTGAGCCAAACCGGCTAGGGCCAGAGTTTGACATTTTAAATAGACGGGTCTGAAAAGCCAACCTGAGCCCAGCCAGTTTGGCTCAGTGGTGAGCGTTGACCTATGAACCAGGAGGTCATGGTTTGATTCCTGGCACATGCCTGGGTTGCTGGCTCCATCCCCAATGTGGGGTGTGCCAGAGGCAGCCGATCAATGATTCTCTCTCATCATTGATGTTTCCATCCCTCTCTCCCTCTCCCTTCCTATCTGAAATCAATAAAAATATATTTAAAAAAATAAAAATAAAAAGTGGATATGAGAAGGTGACAGTAAAGACCTGAAGGAGGTTAAATACCTACTTCCCCCATCAGAACCATGTCCTTCTTTTCCACCCCTGAATCCTCAGCTCCCCACCAGCGCCTAGAACGTGTTAGGAGCCCCGCGAGTGGGTATGGGGTGAAGGATGGCATTGGCCTGGTTTTGGGGTGCAGAGTCTGGGATGGGGCTGGCCTCCTCAAGTACTCACATCCTGCAGCAGCTTCTCTAGGTTCTCCTGCAATTCGTAGAAGTAGACGGTGGTGATGAGGCCATCGCGGGACTTGGTCAGGCAGTCCCGGGCCAGCTCGATGATCTGGTGGTGGATAAAGCTGAGCACGCCATCGGCCAGCGGCAGCACGCTGTCGGGTTCATAGGCGCGGGTGAAGTCCCGCAGCTTCTCCTCCATCTGCGCGGTGGCCTGCGGAGGAGGGAGGCCAGACGGTGTGAGCTCGGGGCTGGGCTTTAGCCCAAGGGCTGTGGCCGCAGGAGA